TGATTAGGGTGTAGGAGCTAGAATTTCACATCTTACAGTGCACTTCAAAGGAAGGAGGGAGACATTCAGCCTAAGTGTAATACTACTCAAGGCAGATCTGACTAAAACACGGACATTTGGAGCATGTAAGACGTTCAAGTGACATATTATTTAGTCTTTTATATTCCAGTGTTATGGTAAATCATACAATAAGTACTTGAATTTGAAGCCTGTGATAATAATGGAGGAGTTGTTCAGCCTGTTAGCTATCTTTTAGCTTGTTAATCATCTTTTAGCCTGTTAGCTGGCTGATTAGCTAGTTCTAGTTAAGAAAATAAGTTTTCAGCACCTCAATTTAAACAGAACCAGGTTCGTATTCCATTAGTACGCTCAGTGGACTGTGTGAGCAGCGTGACAGTCATAGATTATTCCCTAAACAGCACAAGGATTTTTAGATTTACCACAGTAATTCAGAATTCAGTGGTTGGGAGGCGGTCATTGTTGTGCGTACATAGAGTATTTTACAACAGCTTTGGACACAGATTTTAGGACCGGAATCTGTTTTACAATACTGTAGCATCAGCATAGAAGGAGACACAGCAGAGGCACATACAAACACAGCCTTGAAGCAGGCAGGTCAGGTTTTAGTCATACATGTTCTCCTTATGGTAGATACACTACTAAACCCCACTATCTCACCATAGCCCAACACAAAATAACACAATCAACATATACTATATCTTAACCTCACAACCAACAACACTAACATAACAAAAACAGCAACAATTGTCTCTTTCACAAAGTGGGAGGGGTGGTGGTAGTGGAGCGCGTAGTGCAACTTTGCACCTAAATGTTTTACCTTAGTAAGGAAATTTGGTGGGCTAATGCTAGCTAAATTAGCTTACTTGATTAACAGGGGCTGGTTAACTTATACCTGATTCTCCTCTGTCAACTTCTCAACTTTTGGTCAAAAGTTTTCTTACTCTACATTTTTTAGTTCTGCATCTCAGTTAGATCAGCAATACAATTTACGTTGAACTTACTGAAAAAAACACTAAATGTACGGTACGGTAGCATGGTGCGGTGGAGTGGTCCATTGTAGATGATTAATCAACTCTTAACAGAGTATCAGTAACACATCAACAACATATCAGTGGAGTAGCAGTAGTGAAGCATCTGAATATGTTGAAGTAAATATCTTGTAGATGTTCTGTTGATACATTACTTACATTAAGTAGATGTATTGTTAATATGTTACTTCCATCACGCAAAACCTAACCTTACCCAGCCTTACCCAAAGCCTAACCCTAACTCTCATATGTTTTTGACATGTTACTAAGAGTCTGTTGAGTGTTTGCTTCATCTTCATCTAATAAAGTATCACCAAATGTGCTGCCTCATAATAAGTGGAAAATGCATAACTTTAATAAATTACATTTTTTTCACAGTGCAGCTAACAGGAGATTCGTACAGTTTGGAAGTTGTAAATAAAAATTGAATTAAATGAATGAAAAGAATTAAACATTTACTAGTCAAAGTTTAATATTCACATGTACAAGCTGAATTCCAGAGATTACAAAAAACAGGAAATAAAAGTTAAACCTCTAATTAGAATTAAATTTTTAATATTGTGAAAAAATTTAAACATGTTAAACTTTAATTAATTTTAGTTAAGAGTACATAAAAAGATGGTTCTTCAAGGGTTCTTAAAGTAAATAAAGTAAAGGAAAGGAAACAGTTCTATACAGAACAATGAATCACTTGCGTGAATCAATTGTTCTTTGCATCATGAACGGGTTCTTCAAATTGATGGCAAATATGCTACTTATGGTTCTATATAGAATTTTTTGAAGGGTTCTTTGCATCATTAAAGGGTTCCTCAGACTGATGGAGAATGTGCTGTAGATGGTTCTATATAAAACCTTTTTAAAAAGGGTTCAGAAAGGATTCTTCCATTGTAGCTTGTAACAATAGAAGAACCCCTTTTGGAGCTTTATAGAACCCTTTTCAAAAAGGTTTTATATAGACCCATCTACAGCACATTCTCCATCAGTCTGAGGAACCCTTTAATGATGCAAAGAACGCTTCAAAATGCAATGGGTTCTTTTTAGTGTTCATGGTTCTATACAGAGTCATTTTCTTTACTAAAGAACCCTTAAAGAACCATCTTTTTTAAGAGTGCACTACTGCAATTATAATAGATTGGAAAAAGTGGGTAATTTTCCTACCAATAAGAAATTAAATCTTACATGCTAAAATATAATTCCTACAACTAAAGTAGAACTTCAAGATGTTATCATTTGAATTGTATTTATTCTTCTCATTTTTTTTCTGGTCTCAACAACATTTTCTGATAAAGAAACTTGTTCTCCTGACTAAGAGTTAAATGGTTTGCTGTGCCTGCTCCTATCTGGGTGCTTTTACTTTCAGATTTCGTTTTTCGTCCTGCCATCGCTTTTGACAGTATATACGTTTATAGGCTCCACAATTGTCTCCCATATCTTTTTCTGTTGTTTAACGTTTGGTGCATCTTTAGCGAACAATTTACTGTTATTTGTCAGAACTTCTTTGCTTAAAATTTGTTTTGTTTCTGAGAATTTTTTTGTGTGTTTGTTTTTCATTTCGTGTCCTTTTAGGTAGCCAGTCAGAGCTTCACTGGCCATGGGTCTTTATTATGCATGAGCTCATTTACATGTGGAATACATTACATTTTGATTGGCTCTTGCCCAGGACACAGGCGAAAACAACACAGTGTTAAAAAGACGTGGGGGTGCTAATCACCACCACCGTGACTTTATAAATAGCTCTTATTTACAGTGCTGCACAGTTTGCATGGCGTAGCGCTGTTAGTGCTGAGTTTTATGAATCTTTAGAGTCTTCGGCACATACCGCCCTGAGACATAAAGCATTTGTCATTCTTCCTTTTCACTGAGCACAAAGCACAAGTTAAAATTCCTCATCCACACACCTCCATCTCAGGTCACTCTCCTTCCTTTTCCAGATGAGACACACTCTCCTCTCCTGCTGAGGAAGCAGAGTTGGGGGGATAAAATGCAATTTGCTCTTTAAAGGTCAAGTGCATTAAATGTTCCATTTGCGCAATTTATGAGAAAGGTTTCTCTTGTTTTGCTGGAATATTTAATAAGCCACGGTAAACAACTTAGCCAGCTAGATCATGAGATCTGTGTCTTTCTTTGTTGCTCGTCTGTCTCAGCAGAGTTGTGTTTAAAAATCTGAACATGTAGAATGACATCTTTAGACAGTTTGGCTGTGTTCTCAGTACAAGACATGTGTTGTCAAATGATTAATTGTACTGATTAACTTACTGACTGACTTTCTTTGCAGTCATGGTGATAAGACATCTAAAACACAAACAAAGCCACTTTCTTTATTATTAAAAACCCCCAGTGAACCTACATGTGTCGTCTGAGTTTATATACGTAATGTTGATAAAGGTGAGATAGTGATAGATCTGAGGAGATTAGATATACGTTAATGTAAATAAAAAACAGACGACAAATGATATTTAACAAAAAAACAATAAAATGTCTCAGTTTCAACATATAATATGTTGCCGTTTGCTCTATTTCCAATTAATTATAAGGTTTAAATGATTTGCACATCATTGCATTTTGTTTTTATTTACATTTGCCTAGTGTCCCAACTTTTTTGGAAACAGGATTGTGGGATTTGCACCAGAGCTGTCAAGAAGCTGTTACTAAGTAAACAATACATTCCCGCAGATTTCTTTGAAAAACTGAAAGCAAGTCTCCTGAAAAGAATGGAAGCTGTAATAAAGGCAAAAGTTGGACACCATTAATACTGAAAAAAATCATTATTATACTGTCTTTGGTGGGTCTGTGCAATTTTTTGTTCCTACTTTTTCCCTGATGCTGAAAACTAAATAACTTAATGTATTTAATAGCTATTTTGACTGGAACTTAAACAAATGATTGGTGGTCTGACCTTTGCACATTACTGTAAATATTTGATATGTTTTATTCAAACAGTCACGGGACTTTGGTGCAGTGATATGACTGATAAGAGAATGTGGACAACTAGAAGTTCAGAGGTGCTTGGTTGGTTTAGTTTGTCTTAAATAAGCACCAGGCAGCAGAACAGACACTCTGAGAACACTGTAAAAGTGTTCAACTAGTTGAACTTCTTTTACAGAAATTCACTGTACTGATACTGACAGTAAATAAAAGTAAAAGAGCATATTATATATATATATATATATATATATATATATATATATATATATATGTATGTGTGTGTGTGTGTGTGTGTGTGTGTATATATATATATATATATATGTATATATATACAGTTATTTGTATATATATTTATAATTTTATTGTTTATATATCATATATATGTCAGTGTTCCAGTATTTAAACGAATAATTTAAAAAAAACATATGGTGTAAAACTTTCAAAGTCTTTAAAACACTAAAACCTGAATAATCAGAACAAAAACTATTTAATATAACGTAAAAATTTTACAGTATAATTTTTTAATTCAAATTTTTATGCCTTTAACGTCTCAATTGCTGTGAAATCCCATAATGCTGTGCACCACAGCTCAACATCAACCTTACTGTAACTTGTTGTGCTATTAGAGAAAACATCTTGAGATAAGTTTTTGCAATAAAAGGATGAGTACAGTTTGTTCTGTGAACATGTACTGTTAAATATTGTAAAATGCTGGCATTCATTAATAGTGAAGCTCTTTCAACCAGGAACTGAATATAAAACACATAGCCTACGTAAACACTGCTTCATCAGCTTATGGCAGGACCATGAACTACTCCTGATGGAAATGATAGCCATTATAGGCCTATTCTTAACCTTCTGAGGCCTGTGTATGTGTGTGTGCATGTGTTGTTGGTTCCTGTGCCAGCCCAGTTGCTGATAGGGGTCACACCCCAGGCCTAAAAAGGCAAAGCAGAATGCAGCCGCTGCTGAGGGCTCTAAGAATAAACTGCCTGGTCCACTCAGGGATAAGGTTACTTCCAAGCCCTCCCCATGCATCCCTGCGCTTCCTGACCTACACCCCTGACGTGCCGGGGACAATCAGAGGGGGGTTAGAATTAGCTTATAGCACTTAGCCGTCCTGATTTTTTTAGCAAGCTCTCAATTTTGCTAGCGCTCGGAAAGGCTACAGCCTGCACGGCCCTCTCTCTGGAGCGTGTGCAGGGTGAGGAGACTCCACTGCTCGTTTAACTGAGTCTCTGTAAGCAACAGGTGTCATATTGTTTGTGCTTCCTCAAGGGGGGTCCAGGCCCTGACTTGGCTGACTTTTGGTGGAACACTAGCAGGACTAGCACGGAGACACAGCAACAGTGCTTCACTCTTGAGGGCCAATTGTGGGTTTTCAGCACTGTTTGACAGACATGGAAGGTACAGTCATCTTCTTCTTCACATCTTAACCTGTTTTTTGTTTTGCTTTTAAGGCGCCACAAGAATGAATAATACAATAAATGGCACGACACATACAAGGCAGAGTCTACAGCCTGATCGGTGGATGCTTTGTAGAGGAATTTCATGATCGAAAGGCTGCTAAAAATAGGCCATATCATATAGCACACTGTTATGCTCATGTGAAACATGCATGTGATGCGAAAGCAGCTTTTAAAGGAACTTCAGATAGGCCTTACAATTGAATTATGGCTCAATCTGCCTGAGAGGAAATCTAGCTACTCAGTCCAGTTTGGATATCTGTATTGTATCTCTGCTTTGTATTTTTTTTTCTGGATAGGTGATATCATTAAAGTCCCTGATATGAACAAATATTTAATATGCTTAAAGGGATTTGCGAGGATTTTGAGGATTTCGAACACAAAAATCCTGTCAATTTGTCCACTTTACCGAAACGCCCGCAAAATAAGTTTGAAAATTCCTCCAAAGCTATTTTCCTTGTGATGAAGTTGTTTCAAAAGCAATTATTAATATGACTGAAGACTGCTAAATGGATTTCAGCCTTGCGTGAAATAGCTTATTGTTGCAGAGACTTAAAGCTGAATTTGATATTCTGATTAAACCGTAGGAACTGTCAGTCAGATGGGCGTAAATAAGCTCTATTTAAAGTGTCAGAATGAAGGGGGACGGTGTGAAGCCCAGCAGTGGACTGTCTGCCTGCTGACTCAGTTTTCTCAACAAGCTCTCGCCATGGATATGAACACAGGGAAGCAAGGACAAGGTCTTCTATCAGAATCGCTGATGAGAGGCAGCCGTTTCCCATCCTTCTCTCGAACACTGTTTTTATACGGCAGGGCCAGGCTGCCAAGCTTGAAGGCCAACACATAGTTCTCTGCTTGTTGTTGATAAAGTCCTTGTGAATACTGGCATGATATGTATGGCTCAAATCTTGTTATTAAGATACAACAAAGGCACAAGAGTACTTCACTTGCTGATATGCTGTTCATGAGCTCCAGTGGCTATTCACAGGGTCATTTCCTGGCTCTTTTGAAGGCACTTGCCAATGCATAATAGCCCAGGTGTAGGCTGAGGGAGGTTCTGAATGAGGTCAGTACAGGGGAAGCGCAGCGAATGGCCTTCTTGAGTCAGCAATTGGATGGATCTCACTAATCCTCAGTCTGACAACACGGTGCAGTGTGAAGAGCTACGACAGGTGGGCTGAACTGAAACTGTCAGAGCGCTCGTCCAGTCACACACATACACACACGCTAGGAATGTAACCAAATACAGATCTGTAACACAGAATGAAGAGATAATGAACTGTAAACAGATGAAGATTTTCAGTGCAGCATTATTATTGTAAGCAGATCCTTCAGAAAGTTTAGATCTGCAGCTAATTTACAGACCCACACTATTAAACAGTCATTCGCAAACTCCACCCACTCGTGCATCTTCTGCTTATCAGTTGGCTAACCAGATCTTAACTCAGTCTTATAAATCTTCTATTTTTACAATGTCAAGCTTAGAAGAACCCTGTTTGGTGCTACATAGAACCCTTATTCAAAAAGGTTCTATATAGAACCATCTACAACACATTCTCCATGATGCAAAGAGACTTTTAATCATGCAGTGCGTTCTTTGAGTGTTCATGGTTCCATTTTCTTCAGTGAAGTGCCCTTGAAGAACCATCTTTTTAAGAGTTTACAATTTACTTTTTCATTATTTCTAATTTATAACTCATTTCTACAAGCTGTTCTTGTTACTGTGCCTTTAAGACTGATATATGTCAATGAGCTCTTTACTGATTGGCTGCCCAATCTGTGCCTCATTCAAATAGCAGCCCGTACTAAAACACATCTTATAGTGTCAAGGAAAATGAGTAGGGCTAATCACTAAACGGCGAGCTTAAAACAGGCAATGTTTGCAGCTTAGTCTCTATACGTGATCCGCCTGGACTGGTACATTTTGAAAGTTTAACAGTGCTTACATACCACATCAAACTCTGTTACTTCAAAAACTAAGGAAAATTTGGTTTTCCATGATACAGGCCTGGGTCAAATGACATTGATGAAAATCAGTAAAACATCCTCTACAGACAACACACTTGATTATGGCATGTTTCTGCAATTTTTAGCGTACAATTTTTATTCATTTGCTGAATTTAACATATTAGATAAGATAAAACATGAAATATAAAACATGAAATATAAACTGTTCCATACCATTTGCACAGGTGACATTTTATCTTTGTTTTATCTTTTTTTTTCCCAATATATAGAGGATGTGTTAACTTGTGTTCACTCAGAAAATCAACTATGCATGTCATGTGACCTTGGGGTGCCAAAACTTTTGCACACAACTGCATCTTTCAAGTAAAAGAAGAGGTGGCATAAAAGAAATCTCAGCCTGACTTTATCTTTCCCAGTCATCGCAGACAGAGAGCACAGGCCCATCTCCTCTAAGACGCACGGCAGATCAGCCGCATATCAAATTTAAGGAACCATAGCCAGAATCACAATGGCTCATACAAGAATCAATTCCTGACTCTGACTGAATTTGGCCATATTGGAGCGAATCAATACCGGGGCTCTGCAAAAAGGAACAGTGTTTACAAAGGTCACGTGTAGCGTGTGTAAGGAATCACTGAGAAGCAATTCAGCCTGCGCTGTGGCAGGGATTTATATCCATTTAGAATGGGTCTTTTGACAGAAACAGTTGCATCAATACATCTTTCCAAATTGATACAAAGGCAGCATTTTTCTTTGCTGTGGCCTTGGAGATGTTTGAACAATATGTGATTGATACAGCAATGGTCCACCATTCTTATGGAGTCCTGCCTTCTTTCAGTATTCTGTCAGAGCAGAACAGTGACCACAGACAAAGAGCGAACATTCGTCTGCCAGATTGAGTCAGTCTTACCCTCCTAAGCCTTTCAAAATTCAGCAGCAAGAGTTTCTCACATTTAGATAGATAGATATAGTATATTATTTAAGTATATTATTCAGTATACATATACATATGCATGCTAATTAAGTATGATATATTATGTATATAATATACTAAGTATGTTAATTTGAATGCACCCACTGCTGACATAGGTGTTTAATCACACACATATAGCTTTTACAATTTCCATAGAAAAGATGAGCAGCTGCACTTGAGCCTAAGTCACCATGCCCAATGCCAAGCATCTGCTGGAGGTGTAAAAGGGCCCTCAGCATTGGGCTGTGGAGCAGTGGAACTGAGCAGTAGATGAAGCTCCATCCAATACCTTTGGGATGACTTGGAGTGATCCAGAGCTAATCATCCAACATCTGTACCTTACCTCAATAATGCTCTTAAGGCTGCAATCAAATCCTCATAGCAATGTTCCAACATCTAGTACAAAGCATTCCAGGAGGAGCAAAGGGACACATTTCCTATTAATACCCATGATTATCTTTAGAAAAGCTGGATGGACAGGTGTCTACAAACTTTTGGACATGGAGTGTAGACACACTGAAACTGTATTCATTCTGAAGGACAGTAAATGCTGCATAGTGATTTAGTGTACATTGTTATCACACAACATTGCTAAACCAGAATAAATAAAAGATTTAAACCTCTAAAAGACAGACACAGAGCTGTAACAGCAGTACCCTTGCGCTTGCCCTTGTTGTGCTGTACCCTTGTTATTAACAAGCAATTTGCACACATCACCTCTATGCTATTTCAGCTTGATTGGCTAAGAATATCCTCCTGTATCAAGTACAAACTACTCCTTCTCCCTGAGCTCCTCCATCCCTCCTCTTACTCTTACATCTTCTGAGACTGCTACTTGTGGCCCCTCGCACAGGACTGTGGGTACTAGTGGCAGGTCATCTAGTCCATCTCTGGAACTATCTGCCCCCATCTCCCACACTGCTTTTCCGTTTAACTGTTTAAATTTTTATAGATACATATGAACAGAATGTCATGTCAGAAAGTGTCAGAAACCATAAAAACAAGTCTAATAGATTACTTAACAATTCAACTTTGAGGCAAACGTGTGAAGATTTAGGTACACAGTTAGCACAATGCTAACTGTTGGTGAACTTCTATTACTTGTTAGCTACATTAGCCTTGTAGCTCCAGCGTAAAACTCAAGAAGGAAACTTCTTTAGAAAATCTGAATGTTGTCCAAACCACTGCTTCAAATTTGTCTTAGTCTTAGTTTTTATGTAAAGCATCCTTGGGTATGTAAAGTCATTAACTAACTAAACAAACAAGCAAACAAACAAACAAACAAATAAATGCAGTTTTTCTTCTTCTTCTTCTTCTTCTTCTTCTTCTTAGTATTATTATTATTGGTATTATTCATTATTATATATCATTATTATTATTCATATTATTATATCATTATTATTATTATTTAGATGTGCTTGGTGTTCTGAAGCTGTGTGTTTTCACAGTGCGGGGCTCCACCACCACCACCACTGTCCTGGAGAGTAAAGGCAGTGATGCGAGTGCTTCCTCCGTCCGTTCATCTAAACGCACCATGACTGATGACCTGTACACAACCTTCAGCTCTCCTATGGCCTGGGTGCTGGTGCTGGCCCTCATCATCACCTGGTCTGCTGTAGCCATCATTGTATTTGACCTGCTGGACACCAAGAGCCTGGAAGGTAGGCACAGCTTCTTTTTCCTTCTTTACTGCACTGGACATCCTAATGTATGCTACTGGTCAAAAGTTTGGAATTACGGTTTAAAATTTTAGATTCTTTGTTTTCGGTAATCTAAAACCAATTTGGTTGCAGATACACGTACAGATTCACTAAAATTTTAATCTTATGCAACTTCACAGGTTTCAAATAATTGGTAAAAGATTATGAGACTTTAGATGTGTCTGGAATGATGGACAAAACTGTAGGTGATTCTATTATAATTGCCCTGCTAGAAAAATCAGCAAAGACATAACTGTTTATCAGAAAAACCTGCATACTGTCAAAATCTTGGACAAAAATCTTGCATTTCTAAAACAGTAACTTGTCAGAAGAAGGAAAAAAACAACCAATTTTCAGTAGAAGCTAAAGGAAGAATATTTTATTCCAAGTAACTTTGTACCATATCTATTCCATTCATCATTCAGTTTTCACGCAATACGAAGGGCAGCTTGGATATTAATATGGATATTATCAAAAAATTAACAATATTTAATAAAATATTTAATTAATAATAGAAGTTGTGATGCTGGTAACCAGCAAAATCAGGATATGTTATGCTTTGGTTGCTGATATGCTGGTCAACTAAATCAGCATCAGGCCAGCAATAGACCAGCATAAAGCAGCTGGAATATAATTTATGCTGGTTTAAGCTTTTTTTTCAGCAGGGTGAGCGGAGATCAAAGTGGAGATCAAATCTCGAGGCAAATAAAATATTACCATAAATAGATAATTACAGTGAATTACAGTTACAGTTAAAGTGAATCGTTTAAAAACGTAATTAGTTCCAACTTACCGTTGTTGTACCGTTATGTTACAAGCAATTCCAAACTTTTGAACTGTAGTGGAGGCCTCCTATATCCAGACCATGACTGGGGATAGAGTTGGCATGGTTTCTTAAGTGGTTATCCATCAAAGCAGTGTTATTTTGGTCTGAGGGGATTTTGTGGATTGGACTCCGGAGCCGGTGAATAGAATGTTCAGAGGAACCTCTATATCACTGGGACATTAGCTTCATCTCCAATTTATGCTATAGGGTAAAACCGTTTATAGATTGGGGTAATAGGATGCTTGGATGAGAATTTAGAGACTAGAGAATGTGATAAAGCCTGATGGTTGTTTTCTTGCTGGGAGTTTATCTAGACTGCCACTGGGCAAACTCTGTGCGGGCTGTGGGAGTAGAGCGGAAGCTTATTGGCCGAATCCTGATAGCACTGACAGTGATAAAGACAGATAGGGTGTTCTGTTAGCCAGGGACTATCACTAGCGGCTACCTTCACTTCCAGTCAGCAGTAATCAGAGAGCAGGCCAGGTCCTGTCTAAGCTCATCACTTATTTGGCCTTTTTGACAAGTACTCCATTGCATCATCACCTGATGAGATTGTACATTAGGCCATTTAGCTTATGATAGATGTCTGTGGACATGAACCCTTAGACGTCTCGAGTTATCACTGCTGTTTTCATGTACTGTTCAAATGTAATTACATAAATATGTAATGGTAGGCCTAAAGGAGAAGTCCCAAATATTCAAAATGTCTGCATAAGTAAAAATGTTTCAGATATAAGGCAGCATATTTGTAACTATTTCAAGCTTTTAGAGCTGTTAAACGCTTCAGATGTCTGGTTCCTTTCACCTTCACTGTGAAGAGTCATTAAGTTGGTCTGCAATGAACCATTTCACATAAGACCACTTAGAATGACTTCATTTACAGAGACTGAATTATGCAGAGATGTAGGAATGCATCTTAATTTATGTAGTAAGTTACAAAATGAAATACATTTGCACTCAATTTACATTCTGTATCAAAAGCTTTCAGTCTGCACTTTTTTCCATTTATTTTGATGTCTCAAATCTCAAAAATGTGGCAAAAGCATTTTTTTCAGAAAACAAGAAAAATATCTCCTCACAAAAATATGGAGTCAATTATAAGCTTAGAATCTGCATCCAACAGAATTTCTCTGTGAGAAATAATTCATATAAAATGACACAATACTTTTGTTGTCATCAGTGATAACTGTGACTTCTAAGGGTTAAATACAGTTGGTCACATTTAATGTAAGAATGCAGCATTTTAGACTCAGTTGATGTTTATTAATGGCAGTTTTGAGCTATTTCAAGATTGCCAGACATGGAATTTGTGAAAATTATCATTGCTTAGATGGATTTTGTGAATGTTAGCATTTTTCATATCATATTTCACTCACATTTCATTCCATTTCAACGAGAAAGGAGAAAAAAGGTCTGCTGCATAGCACAGAATACATTTTTGAAAGCATTTCAAAAGTGGAGACCTTTTTATATTCAGGGCTATTGGTGTAGCCGAGGCCAACCCTCGAGTCATTAAGACCCTGTAGCAAAGTGTACATCTCCCTAGTAGCCACCTTCACTCGTCCATTTCTAATAAGTTTCCCTCCTTTTTCCACCCTGTCCATCCCCATGTGTCATCCTGTTGCCATCCAATAAAAAGCCCATACATTATACTGTGACGACCCCTGTTTGCCACCTGGTAAAGACTTTCTGCCTGCAGTGAAGTGCTTTTGCCTGAGTGTGTGCGCGTGTGCCCGTCGCTGCCTTCCTTGGTGTGTGTGCGTGCATGCATGCGTTGAGGGAGCAACTGTCACTATCATTTCATGCTGCCGTGGATCTGAAGATGCGTATTAATTGATAGTCGTCCCGTCTTTCATTACACAAGCCTTCACTTCACTTCCTCTATATTTTATTCATTCCTATTCAGTGTAACATTATGCCTTTCAGCAGTGTTTCCCAATCCATGCCCTGGTGTCGCCCTGCACTGCTGATTTTAATGTTTTCTCCCACTCCCAACACACCTGACTCAACATCGCTAATTAACAAGCCCTTCATGTGCCCTTTCCTGTGTGTTACAGTGGAGAAAACACCAAAAATACGCAATGCAGACGTACGCCAGGCCCAGGATTCAGAAACTCTGCCTGTTAGCCAAAGTATTGTAGTGAAGAATGAAGTACTACTTATTTAGTTATATATTTAGGGCTGTCACTATCGATTATATTAGTAATTGAGCAATCATTTTGATGATTTAGATTATGTAGATTTAGAATTTGCAATCCTTTTTTTATTAAGCCCCAACAATAAAAATAGATTTATCTAAATAATAACAGTGCTAAGCATTTTCCAAGGCCATTTTCCGACCTTTAAAAATCTCAGGAAATTAGAAATAACATCAGAGAGGAGAATTACCACTCTGTAATGTCTTCCGGGTTTCTCAAACGCTAGAGGGCGCTCCCGAACAAGTCCAAAATGAATGGTTTAAGATGGACCATTTGAGCAAAATCATAGTTTACTCGCTGACCAATCAGCACTCAGTAGCAGTAATGCTAGCATCGTGCCCAAGAATTGTTTGCTGTAAAAAAGGAACTATATATGTTAGTTTTCTTTGCTTTTTTAGTGAAATACATTGTTCTACTTTCTAAAATTAAAGGAAAGTTCTGGACAAGTGATTAGAAACTGCTGTTTAGCTCCTTTCACCCACATTCATTAAGGACTCACTAGCAGGCACCCTTTGGCATTTTGCAGTCATGTTTTTGATATAATGGGGGAAATAGGAAGAGGCCAGGCTCCTCATTAACAGGCTCTGATAACATGACCCTTAGAAATAATGCACAAACATAGGTGTGTCCCTGGAGCTATTTAAAATATGCATTGTCAGAGTATTTGCAAGTATCAGCAAATTCAGCAAATTCAATTTAGAGCTCTTTAATCTTTTTAATGCTGCTTTGAGCCAGTCATTTCATAAACTTGAAGTTTCATTAGCGCTTTAGTGGAAATTTCAATCTTACGTTTGCGCCAAGCTGGCAGCAAGGTAAATTCACCATCTTGCATAACGCTAGTTATGCTTGATCTATTTAAATGAGACATTTAAAGCATTTCAGGCTTTGTAACAGACATTCAAATGGTGTATTCTTTACCTTCAGTAAAGCCCTGTTAGACTCAGCTGTCTGTCACCTTGTTTAATCTAAAGTTAACTAAACAAAACCTTTTACTTTATTTTATTTCATATAAAATTCAATTCCATTTGTAACAGCAAGCATTTTTTTTACTTCATGTACATGCAGTTTGTAACCACAAACAGGCATTAGTGAGATTCTGCTGGTGTGGGTTTCTTCTGTTTTAGTAGCCATGTCTCAAAGCCAAGGGTGCAGCTTAAGAAGGCTTCATTTCTCAGCTGTTACATCACTGAAGGCTGTAGAATCCTTCTTTGTGGCTGAGAATATTATTCATTTCTGTATATGATTTGTATCTGAGACATTAAAGAACTCAACATTTCTACTATTTCAGTCACACCGAGGAAGTCACAATCCTTCATACGTTGAAAAATAGCAGAAGCAGTCATGAGTGGCAAGATGCTGGACTGCTAAACATGGCTTTATAATGACCCTGACTAGTCTTTTGAGAACATAAGTTACATATTTTGTAATCACTGGATTTCTCTAAATCAAGAAATTAATTTTTATAAAGTAATTTTGACATCCCTATGTATACAAAAATACGATATGCATTGACAGCCATATGTATATTACAATACAGTACAAAATTTTATTTGTATTTCTATTATGCAGCCATATGATGCTGTACATTGCATATTTCTGTATATGATTCCAGTAATAGTGATTAGTCTTTGTCTGAGTGTCATTTCCACATCTGACAATTGGTCCTGGTCTATGTTAACACTGTAAATAATTCAGAGATTACATACCATATCAAGTAATGGCATAGTATTTAAATTTCTTATTGTATTTCATAAAAGGCATGATGTCACGTTAATGGTCAATTTTCTTTCTCTTCTGTGTGTTCAATGAATTAACCATTTAAAATCCTAATTATCACATCCTAGAACTTATAATTCAGTAACTACATGGAAAAAAGGGTGACTGGTCAAGTTATCCCAAAATAAAGAACTGTAATAAAAATTTTGGACTTCCTGGCCATTTAAAGGGTTACTGAAATCAACATAACAAATCAAGAAAATCCTTATTATCTTGCATCACAGTAGCATCACAAAATATACAATTCACAAAAAATGTTAGACAGATGTATAATTAGCACTTTAAGTAGAAAACGTTTAGATAATTTAAATTGCATACAACACTTTGCAATGTGTTACAATGTAAAAAAACACACCAAACGAGTTTTCAGTCCAAAAAAAGAGAAATAGAAGGTGAAGTTAACAGTCATTAACAGGTTCACTGGTACAGGAGGAAAATTAAACTCCTGGACAAAGACCACAGTCAGATATAAGGTAGCAGAGACTGAGACAAAAATAAAGAAACACTGCAAAGTGATGATCTAATGATCACCTCCATTTATTATATGAAGGTGTTTCTTCCCTGAGTTGCTGTTACTGCTGAAAACTGGCTTATCTTTGCTCCAGTGCCCGAAGATCTTTGGCAGCAATTCCTGATTGGGGCTTTAATATAAGTAGTGCATAGCCTCAAGAGCTAATGGAATTGCTTCACACGAATTCTTCTGACAGTGCCGATTCTGTCTTCAGAGGAAAAAAAAAAAGGTAAAAAAAAATCTAGCACTTGCACAAATCGGATCAACAATGCAAGAAATTCAACTCTGAGCAAATGCTGAGCACAGGGATTCATTGCTATGAAGTCATAGCTAAGAGCCTCTGGCTCTAAACCTCAACTGAATATTACTTTTTCAATGTCAAATCTGCGTTCGTTAAATAATAGGTCACAAGCCTTTGCCAATAGTGTGCCAATTGCTCCCTTCCACTCCTATGAAATCCTAAATCAGTCTTTTTTTTAAAGTTTAGTGCACAATATGATTCTGTTCAGCCACAAATTATTCACAATTGATGTAGTTCTAACACTGAGAGCTATACTGTGAAAGCATTGTGGCTTGCCTTTGTTCATTAACTGTGTGGTATTGAGCGGTAACCCATACTTGCCATGCAGAATGATTTGACATTTTCATTCAGTGCTTTGAGAGAGATAAAGAATTTTGCCTTGCAGAATTTTAATGCGGTATTCTATGTTGCAGATGCTCCACTTTTTGTCAGAAGAAGGGAAAAATAGTTTGCGCACTAGCGAGCGCTCAGAGAGGCCTAAGTGGTCGTCTTGGGAGATACAAACTCATGGGCTGTATCACGTGGACTCATGGGGAGGAACGATGCACTTTGGTCCGTCTAACGCAGCCTCGCAGCCTTGCTTTTTCACAAACTCTTTACTTAGTACCCTCAGGTGCTCATTTTCCAGTTTGAACAAAAGATAAAATGATGGTGCTGTGCTAGCACCTAGGATTAGCGTAAGCAAGACAACCATCACCCAAAAATCTGATGGGTAAGAAATGCACACCATATATACTATACACTGTACGATGGTAGCAACACATTGCCTGCAAGCACAAAAATGGGTCAAGTGTAAATGCATCTTTAAGTGCATACCTCAGGTCGCTAGCAACCTTTATTTGACCCCATTTCCACTTTTTATCACATACATGACAAACAAGATAACAAAATATATGAAAATATAGTGCACTTCGCAAAAGTCATGGACCTTTGCATAGTACTGTTTATTTAATTTTCAGTCAAAAGTACAAGTTATTTTTCAAGAGATATTTCTGAGGTATATCAGATATAACATGAAGTTGTTGCATAAGGAAGGAGAAAGTAAAAAAAAGGAAAACAGAGTTTTCAAATCTAGAGAAATGGAACTGCAATCAACCATGCAAGGCCTGGTAGACCACCCATACTGTCCCCATCAGATAAACAGCACTTAAAGCTTTTATTTTTGAAAGAGAGGAGAAAATCAAGCTCTGCTCTTGCTTCAGATCTGAAAAAAAAAACACAGTTTTTGTATTCCCTTCAGAGTCTCAATGGATGTGTAGCTGTCAAGAAGCCCTTACTGAGAAATGGAAATCAACAAAACACAAGAAAACATACACTAGAACACCAAATCTGGACATCTGAGATATGGAGTGAAGCTTTATGGACTAGCGAGTCTAAATTTGTTTAGAATTACTTGAGAGGCAGGAAATGCAACTGAACTTTAAAGGTGTGTAGAAATATCCCTGCAAATGTCTTTGAGAAACTGAAAGCAAGACACCAAAAACAATGGAAGCTGTAATAAAGGAAGAGAGAGGACACGCTAAATACAGAAAAATATGACTGGAAATTAATGAAGCCTATTGCACTGTATTTTAAATATGGTCCTTCAATGGCTCTTTATTATAGAAAATGGTTATATATAGAACCATGAACACTTAAAGAACCTTTTGCGTGATTAAAGAGTTCTTTGCATCGTGAAGTGTTTATCAGATTGATGGAGAATGTGCTCTAGAAGGTTCTATATAGCACCAAAAAGGGTTCTGCTATTATTAAGCTTGTAACAAAAGAAGAAACACTTTTGGTGCTATATAAAACCCTTTTCACAGAGGTTCTATATAGAACCATATAAAACACATTCTCCATCGATCTGAAGAACACTTTCACAATGCGAAGGACCATTTAATCATGCAAAA